AAATAGATCCGTACTTATCGCCCTGCACAAAACTGAAGTCCAAGTGGATCAAAGACCTCAACATAAAACCAGACACATTAAATCGGCTAGAAAAAAAAGTGGGGAATACCCTAGAACTCATTGGTACAGGAGAAAACTTCCTGAACAGAACACCAACAGCACAGGCTCTAAGAGCAACAATCAATAAATGGGACCTCATGAAACTGAAAAGCTTCTGTAAAGCAAAGGATATACCATCATCAAAACAAAGTGACTGCCTACAGATTGGGAAAGAATCTTCACCAACCGTTTATCTGACAGAGGACTAATATCCAGTATATATAAAGAAGTAAAGAAGCTGAAAAGCAGCAAACCAAGTAATCCACTTAAAAAATGGGGAACATCTGATAGACTAAGATCAGAAAGAAGGAGAGGAATACCTCCCCTATCAGTGGTCTTGGGGAGGGGCATGCATGCAGAAAGGGGGAAGAGGGTGAGACCGGGAGGGGAGGAGGGAGGGGCTTATGGGGGGATACAAAATTAATAAAGTGTAATTAATAAAAAAATTTAAAAAAAAGTAAAAACAAAAAAAATGGGGAACAGAGCTAAACAGAGAACTCTCTGTAGAGGAATATCTAATGGCAGAGAAACACTTAAAGAAATACTCACTGTCATTAGCCATTAGGAAAATGCAAATCAAAACAACCCTGAGAGTTCACCTTACACCCATCAGAATGGCCAAGATCAAAAACTCAAGTGACAACACATGGTGGAGAAATTGTGGAGAAAGGGGAACCCTCCTCCATTGCTGGTGGCAATGTAAACTTGTACAACCACCTTAGAAATCAATCTGGCGCTTTCTCAGACAACTAGGAATAGCACTTCCTCAAGATCCAGCCATACCACTCCTAGGCATATATCCAAAAGAGGCTGAAGTACTCAATAAGGACATTTGCTCAATCATGTTTGTAGCAGTTTTATTTTTAATAGCAAGCTGGAAACAACGTAGATGCCCCTCAACTGAAGAATGAATGCAGAAATTGTGGTATATCTATACAATGGTGTATTACTCAGCAATGAAAAATAAGGAAATCATGAAATTTGCAGGTAAATGGTGGGACCTGGAAAGGATCATCCTGAGTGAGTAGTCCCAGAAGCAAAAAGACACACACGGTATATACTCACTCATATAGACATACAACATAGGATAAACCCACTAAAATCTGTACATCTAAAGAAACTAAGCAAGAGAGAGGACCCTGACTAAAATGCTCAATCCCCATCCCGAAATGCAAAGAGGATGGACATCAGAAGAAGAAGAAAACAGGCAACACCCTCGGAACCTGCTACAGAGGGCCTCTGAAAGCCAGAAGAAGAAAACAGGCAACAACCTAGGAACCTGCTACAGAGGACCTCTGAAAGCCAGAAGAATAAAACAGGAAACAACCTAGGAACCTGCTACAGAGGGCCTCTGAAAGCCAGAAGAATAAAACAGGAAACAACCTAGGAACCTGCCACAGAGGGCCTCTGAAAGCCTCTGCCCTGCAGACTATCAAAGCAGATGCTGAGCCTGATGGCCAAATGTTGGGCAGAGTGAATTGAATCTTATGTAAGAAGTGGGAAATAGTAAGAGCTGGAGAGGACAGGAATTCCACAAGGAGAGCAACAGAACAAGAAAATTTGAACACAGGGGTCTTCCCAGAGACTCATACTCCAACCAAGTACCAGGCATGGAGATAACCTAGAACCCCTGCACAGATGTAGCCCATGGCAGTTTAGTGTCCAAGTGGGTTACATAGTAATGGGAAGAGAGACTGTCTCTGACATAATCTGATTGGCCTGCTCTTTGATCACCTCCCCCTGATGTGGGTAGCAGCCTTACCAGGCCACAGAAGATGACAATGCAGCCACTCCTGATTAGATCTGATAGATTAAGATCAGAAGGAAGGAGAGGTGGACGTCCCCTATCAGTGGACTTGGGGAGGGGCATGCGTGAAGAAGGGGGACAGAGGGTGGGATCGGGAGGTGAGCAGGGAGGGGCTTATGGGGGGATACAAAATGAATAAAGTTAAATAAAAAAAACTTAATAAAATGACTCTGAGATTACATTTTATACCCGTCAGAATGGCTATGATAAAAAAAAAACTCAAGTGCCAACAGATGCTAGCAAGGATGTAGAGAAAGGGGAACCCTCCTCCAATGTTGGTGAGAATGTAAACTTGTACAACCACTTTGGAAATCAATCTGGCACTTTCTCAGAAAATTGGGACTTGCTCTTCCTCAAAACCAGCTATACCACTCCTGGACACATACCCAAACAATGCTCTACTATGTTCATAACAGCTTTATTCATAAGAGCCAGAATCTGGAAACCACCCAGATGTCCCTCAACAGAAGAATGGATACAAAAAAATTGTGGTACATTTAAACAACGGAATACTACTCAGCTATTAAAAACAAGGAAATCATGAAATTTGCAGGCAAATGGATGGAAGTAGAAAAGATCATCCTGAGTGATGTAACCCAGAACCAGAAATACATGCATTACATATAATCATATATGTAATATATATAATATATGAGTATATATATCTAATATATATTACATATATGTATATATTATATATACATATATGTAATAAATATATATTACATATATATACTCTATATAATATATGGATATATGCCATTTAATACAGGAAACCATACTACAATCCACAGACCTAAAGACACTAAATAACAAGGAGGACCCTAGGGAGATTGCTTAATTCTCATTCAGAAGGGAAAATAGAATAGACACTGGAAATGGCTGAAGAGAGGGAACAGGACAGGAGCTTACATAGATGTCTTCTGAAAGACTTCACCCAGCAGGGGATCAAAGCAGATGTTATGACTCACAGCCAAACTTTGGGCAGAGCACTAAGACTCTTGTATGATTGGGGGGCTGGGGTGGATAGAAGGACCCAGAGGGGGCAGGAGCTGTGCAAGAAGACCAACAGAGCCAACAAATCTGGGTCCAAGGAATCCTGCAGAGACTGATGCACCAACCAAGGACCGTGTATGGAGAGGACCTAGATCCCCTGCTCAGATGTAACTGATGGAGAGCTCAGTCTCCATGTGAATCCCCTAGTTATAAGAGCAGGGGCTGTCTCTGACATGGGCTCTGATGCCTGCTCTTTGATCAGTTCCCCCTGGTAGGCCAGCCTAGCCAGGCCACAGAGGAAGAGGACGCAGGCAGTCCTAATGAGGCTTGACAGGCTGGGGTCACATGGTGGGAAGGAGGGCTCCCCTTACTGAGGACTAGGGGAGGGTAAGGAGAAAAGAGGGGAAGAGAGGAGGGGCCAGGAGGAACTGAGGGTGGGGCTTGCAAGCAGGATATAAAGTAAATAAATTATTAAAAATAAATAAATAAATTAATTAATTAAAATGGTCACCCTGCCAGAAGCGATGGACATATACAGATTGAATGCAATTACAAGCAAAATACCAAGACCTCTCTTCACAGTTAAAAAAAAAAAATCTTTCCCAGCTATACCTCAGACAGGCATTAACATAAAGAAATTACAAAGAAAAGAAGTTATCCTTCTCAAGCCCTGAAACTTCTGATGAAGAAACAAGCTAATTAAATGAACAGAAGAAGTGAAAATGGCCATATTTTTTAAAGTGTTCAACATCCTTAGTCATCAGGGAATACAAATTAAAAATACTTTTATAAATCACTTATCCAAATCAGAATATTGATTGTCAAGAAAGCTGACTAAATGTTGGTGATGACGTGGAGAAAGGAGAACCCTTGTTTATTGCTGGAGGGAGTATAAACCAGTGCAGCCATATGGAAATCAGTATGGAAATTTCTCAAAGAAACTGCAAACAGAACTACCGTATGACTCAGCTATACAACTGCTGACTCAAGAGTCTCCACATCCTACCACAGGGACAAGTGGTTATCCATGTTTATTGCTGCTCAACAACAGGGAGATGGAATCAGCCTAGATGCCTATCGGATGAATGGACCCAGCCTAACACCCATCAGATGACTTCATGTCTACACAATACAATTGTAGTCATCAGTAAGGAGAAATAAAATTATTGCAGTCTGAGAACATGGATGGAATTGGGTGACCTATTAAGTGAAGTGACCCAAATCAGAAAGAGAGCAGTTAAGTACTCACTCATGCAGTGTGAACAGAGCCTGCACCGCCTCATGTATGGACAAACAGGCGTGGCCAACTCAAAACACTGGAGAGGAAACGGAGGGTAGAAAGCAGCGCTGCTGGCAGGGCTGAGAAGCAGGAGGTACAAGTTTTGTGAAAGTAGAAAGGGGAGGAGGGGGGCTGAGAAGACCAAAGGGGAGGCGGCTCTACTGAAATACGCTTTGCTTGAAACGTATGTCGTGATATCGAATATTTTGTATGCTGATTTTAAAGAATTGAAGGGTAAGATACAGCTGCTATTATTTACAAATTATTCTGGAAGTACTAATCAGTACAATTAGGACGAATGTTACATAAATACTAAGGAAGAAAACATCGTCGCTTGAGGATATGCGCCTCCATTCAGTTCTTCTGAGCTGACTACTACACGTAAGCGCAGGCTAACCTCAACCGCATGGATCCGCTCTCACTCCCTTACTTTGGTTTCTACATTCACTATTGCTTGAGGCTTGCTTCTTAGAGCGTGAATTGGTGCATTTCGTTTCCCCGAATCTCTGATGTTTTGCTACCTCTGTTCCAGTTTAACAAAGTTCCTAACTGTCTTAGGTTTGTTCCAGTAAAGCTCTCTTTCAAACTACATACTTAGGTCTATCTTAAAATATTTATTAGGTCCTGTTGGATGATAACATTTTTAAACATTCAGTTTTAAGGTATTTAAACTCTGGAATTTCATTCTTCATGAGAACACGCACAAGGGAAGCATCCACAGACAGACAGACAGACACACACACACACACACACACACCCAAACATGCACACACCCCACTGACCCTTACTTTTTTTCACATAAAAAAAAATAGATCTTACTTTTCTTGGAAATCATTTTGTCACAGTCAAATAAATTGGAGGAATGGCGTTGCAAAAGATGTTCACATTCCTTTAATCTTGACTCCATGGTGCCGAAAATTTCAAATACTTGAGGAACATTGGTCCATAGATGAGTAAAAATAGAAGTAAATGAACTCTCCTCTTCTAGTTTTTTCATAGCGTCTTCCCGTGTATTAATATTTTTAAAAAAAACATTCCTGGGCCAATAATCCTGCAGAAATACACATTTCACATCATCCTGAATAAATTTAAATCACAGTTTAATGACTTAAAATTAAAATTTTATCCTACAGCATTTTTTTTATTAAATGTTTTAAAAATGAATTTTGAAATAATTAAAAATCTCACAAAAGTTGCAAGAATTTTCTAAAAACATGACTTGGGGAATCATTGGAGTATAAGTTGCTGTTTTGATGGCACATTATCTTTGAAAAAAGTGAAAGCATTCTCACATAAAATAGCATTATAAAAATCATAAAATTAGTCTTAATGCATTTCCCCACCTAAATTAAAAACCTATTGAAATTTCATCAGTTGATTAAGCAATATATTTTATAGAAAAAAATAATAGAATTTAGAATCATAAATATTCGAGATTCAATTTTTTTAGTATGAGTCCATTGCAGTTTAAAACAACTCCTAAGTATTTGGTTGGGAGGAAAGTGAAATAGGAGGCACAGAGTTGTTTTTCACTTCTATTTTCCTCAGCTTTACTGACATATAATACAAGAAATTTTACACAGTTATTATAAATAACATGTTGTCTTAATATCTGTATGTGCTATGAGATGACCAATCAAATATAGAGTGAAGAGCATATTCGTTGCTTCACATAGGTTTTGCTGTTTTTTTTTTTAATGGTGAAAAATTGAATATCAACTGCTGTCTTGGAAATTCTAAAATATATATTAACTAGAGCCACCTGCTGTCCACTAAATCTCCAGAAGATATTCACATTATATAATAGAAATTTTGTATCCTTCAATCCATTTATTCTCTTCTTTACACAAGCCTCTGGAAACTATTAGGCTACCCTCTGCTACTGAGTTCCCCTGTTTTAGATTCCTTGTGTGAATAGAAAATGTAACAACAGTCTTTCTGTTTATTTTATTTAGTATTTTATTTTATTCAGTCTGGTTTATTTTATTTAGTATTTTTCTAGGTTTATACACATGACTGCACATCTTTTGCATGGTTCAGGGGTGTCTTAAAAAGTCATAAGGAATTATACTATTATCTAACTTAAAAACCTCTGTAATACACATACATCTGTGTATAAATATACTTGTATAGTTCAAATAACATTTTCTCATTTGAGCGGTTAATGCTCCCTTTATGAGCCAAACACCATCTACCAAAAACCCAACATCAGACATGAGAAGCTCTCTTTGAATTGTTGGTCAGGGCTGTCCAAGAAACTCCCAAAACATACAATCTATTGCTGTTGCCTTTGGTTGGCCAAAGGCAAAGGGATTTATGCAAGAGGGTATACATTTCAAAGGCATGACCCAGAGGCCCCTGATCTATAACTGATCCAAAAACCTTCTCTCTAAGGAGCAGTTTTCATGGTTCCAGAAGGTACCAAGCAAGCTTCCAAAGGAGGGAGGTAACCAACAGACTTACCTAACTGTGATGCCTATGAACCACAACAACAACCAGAATGGCAAAATAACCCTAAGTGTTCATTAGTGGCACATACATTGGTGGTAACCAATAGCTCTTTAATCAGACTTAAGATGTGGTTAACAAGAGGGAAATTATGCCTGGTACTGGAAGCCTAGCCATCTACCCAGGTTAGTAAAATTATGAATCTTGGAGGAGAACCTACATATTCTACTTTTTTTTTATTGCTTGAAACATAGTTTGTAGACCATTTTATTTAAATATATGAACAACCAATGGGATACTGCAATACAACTAAACTCTTCACATCTTAGGAGTGCAGGGAGGTAAAAAAAAAAAAAAAGTAAGACTGTTGGTCTTTGGTAGACTGGGACATAGAGATACAGATACATGTTTATGTAGGTAAAAGGGCAGAGGCCCAGGTGAAATTTCCCACCCCATCTTACTTTTTAAATCAGCATAATCTCTAACTACATTCTTAATGTTATTCCTTATACCCACAAATAAGTACAGTCCTCACGCCTCATCAAGGAAACTTCTCTTTGCAACAGATGGAGACCATTACAGAAAACCAGAGCCAATCAAAATATATAGTTGTGGAGACCATTCCCAATGAATACATCTCCAAAACAGCTCTCTCACCTAAGGCTTGGGCAAAAATGAAGAAGAAGGAATACAAAGATTTTAAGAGCCAGAGATCATGAAGTTTGCAGTGGGATTGTGTCTCTTACAATCTTCGCATTCTTTCTTCATTTTCTTTAGATGAGGGAGGTGTTTTGGAGGTGTATTCATTAGAAATGGTCTCCACAATTATGTATTTTAATTGGCTAAACCCATAGTTACACTAAAAATAAGCCAAACAAGGACAACAACAATAAACATGCTGAAGTGGACAGGACATAAGCTCATGATTCCTCAACCCTATACAAAGAACTCGAGGCGTCTAAAAAATGCTTAGAGTGGAATAGTCTTCCCCAGAGAAAAGCACAGCAAATGATTATCCAACACCAAATGGTCATCCCTGAATACATATATACAAGTCTGAGCGGGTTATATTTAGGAATAAATACATGTACATATATGTAACAACACTTAATTTTTAAAAGTTCACAAGTTTAAAAAGGAACAAAGAGAGATATGTGGGATGGTTTGGAGGGAGAATAGAGAAGGGACACATGATGTAAATATACCATAACCTCAAAAATAAACAGCTGGGACACAAAGTGAATAAACTGAAATTAATATAAAAATAAAAATTTAATTAAAAAATAAAGGAAGTAGTAAAATAAGAAGCCTCTTTTCTGAAGAGAAAAAGTGGATGGAGTGAAAAGAAACCACACAGATTGGAAGAGAATTTTTTCCAGCTAAGCATTTGATAGAGGATTAATACCCAGAATGTACAAAGAACTCTAAAAACAGAGACAAGGAAACAAATGACCCAATTAAAAATAGGTTGTGGATCCAAACATAGAGTTTTCAAGATGCAGAAGTACTACGAAATATCTTTGAAAGTGTTCAGCATCCTTAGCAATTAGATTAATGCAAATTAAATCCCCAGTCAGAATAGTTAGGATTAAGAAAACAACTGACTGCAAACTGGAGCAGCCACTATTGAAATCTGTGTAGAGAATTCTCAAAACGTTGATAGTAAGTCTAATATGTACCACCCCTTTGCATATGCCCAAAGGGTGTTACATTATACGTCACAGATAATCATGTTCATTGCCACTCTATTAACAATAGCTAGGACATGGAAACAACCTAAATGTCCTTCAGTAATGGATGATGAAAATGTAGTACATATCCACAATGAAATACTATTCAGCTTTTAAACAATAACATAAAATTTTGTAGGTTAATAGATGGAGCTAGACAAACTCATCCTGATGAAATTATCCAGACCCCCAAAAGGCAAATATTACATGTTTTTCTCTTATATATGGATGTTAGCATTTAAGTCTTCTATAGGCATGCTACAATCCATATAACCTCAGAGATTAGGTTTCAAGTGAGGGACCAGCAGGAAGAAGAGGATGCTCCAAGAAAGGGAGAATAAAATATAGAGTTCTGGAGAATGGAAAAACAAGTGGGAGACTAGAGTGGGAAAACTAACAGGGGAGGGGGATGGATTAGAGGGGTAGAGAGAGAATATAGAAGGGACAACTAACACTAAAGGTCATTTGAGAGGATCTTATAGAAATGTACTACCGTGGAAACGTCATAAAATATATACTTGTATGAAAGAAATATAAATGGAGCCACCAAATAACAAGGAAGACAATATCCCAACTGGACATTGTTTGACACCATGTGAAACCTCCACTGCCAGGAATGGGATATATCTATTTGAATCTTTGGCCAAAGGAGCCCCAAACATCTCAGGCTATACCCATGGCTATTGGTTACTCTTAATTAAATGATGGCAAGGTCCCATTGCTGAAAACAACACTTACATATCTCATCAAATAGGGAGAAGTTGAGATAGAGCCTGACTAGAGCCTTCACCCCTGCTGACTAGCGTTCATGTTACTGGAAGGTATTCTTCACCCTAGCAGAGGAGAAAGATAACCACCAACTCGGCTATAGACCCTGCAATCTACAACAGTGACCTGCCTACAAGATATGTTGCTACAATAAGATCACAAGTGTTGTGGGAGTGGGCTACCACTGTCTGCTTGGATTTAAGGCCTACTCCACAAGCCACCCATGCCTGTCATTGTTCCTTGGGGAGTTATGAACATCAGATTGTGTGAATCATGGGCCTAGGGAAAAACAAACACTATTGTTCTGCTATAGGAACATAGGAATAAAATGACCCCTAAAGACATTCTGCTATGCCCATAGACCACTGCGTCATTCAGTCATCATCAGAGAAGCTTCATTCTGCAGTAGACGGAAACTAACAGAGAGACTCACAAATGAACAATATGCAGAGAGAGATTTTGGAACACTAAGTCCTAAATGGGATGGCTTCATTAAACACCTCCTTTCAAGCCTCAGGAATCTATGCAAAGAGGAGGAAGAATGATTATACCCCCCAGAGAGGATGGATGAGTTCAAAGAAATTATGTACATACGAACAGATACAGCATGATGGATGTACATATGAACTCACAGACTGTGGCAGCAAGCACAGGACATGCTCAGGTCCACATTGAACTAGATCTCAGTGCTGAGAAAGGTAGTGGATACGGGCTATCTGCAATTTACCCCCACTTGCAAAAGAAAAAGTAGTTTTCTCCAGTGGAGACTCATTTGGGCATATCAACCAGACTTAAAGGTAGGCCTCAGGCCTAGCAGTAGATAAACAACACAAAATGAACTCAATGGTATTTTTGTAGACTTTTTTAAAATTCAAATTGCTTTGTTTGGACATTTTTCTGTCTTACCAATATTTTACTTGAATATGATAGCTTCTGATTTTTGTTTTCATGATGGGTGTGTGAGTGTTGTTTGTGTTTTTAAAATTTTGCTTTGGTTGTTTTGGCTCTTGCTTGTACACTTTCTAAACATAAAGAGAAGGAAAGGGTGTTAAGTTGGTTATATGGGGAGGGAGAAGGATCTGTGAGGAGTTGGGGGTGGTGGGAATCTTGATCTAAATGTTTTATATGAAAAAAGTTGTTTTCAGTGAACAACAAAAAAGAAAACATTTAGAAACTGATTTTATTTTATTTTGCTCTTAAATGAAATTCTCAAAACACTGGGACAAAAGTATTCATTTAAATAAACACAACACACACATGATTTTCATTGCCAATAGTTTAGTCATAACAAATTGTTTCTATTTCACATACGTGGGAATAAATTATTCATACTTCAATCTACTGAATTTGGACAGGCCTCACCGAGAAGCCACTTTTTGCAGCACTCTACTTTATTTGGGGTATTAATGCCTCCACCTCTTTTCCAACCTCTCAACCCTAAGGAGAAGAAAAGTTAGTGGGGAGGGAGGGTTCCCTACTTCTCCCAGCTGTTTAGGGTCAAGGGGTTCTTTTAGGGCTATACCAGTCTTCATCTTCAGCAAATGCAGTCAACAGTCTCCTCCAAGGCCGCTGCGTCCCAAAACGTTTATTTCCATTTGTCTGCTCCAGAGCACCACACCATCCACCTTCTGGTTCTCTCCAAACTGCTGCACGCCACATGCCAACCCCGCAGGCCAAATGACATTTTCTGGGCTCTCATTTATGTCCTCAGAGCTGCAGACCATGCCCTTCTTTGTGCCACACATGGTGGGCTCCATTTGCTGACAATGGAGACTGACATAGCCCTAAAAGAACCCATTGACCCTAACCAGCCGGGAGAAGTAGAGGCCCTCAGTTTGGTAGGGAGGTTGAAGCCTCAAATAAAATAGTTTTTTAAAAGAGCACTACAATCTTTTCTATCTTTTAAATTGACGTCTTTATTCCAAACTTTATCTGACATATCTCAATGTATGTAACAAATATTAGACTCACATTTGCAAATGAATGAAATTGCCAAATTCTCGGGGAAACTCCTTAGTAATCCCAGTAAATCCAGAAAGACTCATTAACAGTTACACATAACAATGGAAACTGGAGTTTCCAAATGAAGGCACACTTTAATATTTTAATTTGATTCAATAATGAAGGAATATTGATGTAAGTTCTTTGTAAACTATCTGTGAGTATTAATTGGGATGAGTGGCTAAATAAAGGTAATTGTCAGATTATCTTGAAGGCATAAATTCATAAGACAAAAATCTTAGGAAAGTACACAGAATTGTATGTATAGGGCTAATAGTTTTTAAGAATGAAAACATTATTGTTAAGAGGAACTTAAAATGACATAGAGTCCACTAAAAAGAAATAAATATGTGCAAACATTTCCCTTTTTGAAGCAAAGTTTCCTGAATTTCTATTTTTCTTTCCATAGTTGATGTTTTTAAAAAGCTTGTTGGCAGAGAAACGAGGGTAGGAAGTTCTACTCACCCAGTTTTGACACTTTAAGAATTCTTCAAAGCTCCGTGGAGGCTCTTTGCATTTCTAATGAAGCAAAAGCAGTAAATGGCATTAATCCTGATTTTACTTAACATATATAACCCACTAAAGCAAAATTTGGTACTTAAGTTAGAATTTTTAGTGTTGTAAGATATTATAATACATTCATTTGTATACTTTGTAAAGTCCAAGTATTTTGAAAAAGGACAGAAAAAAAAAATTCAACATGAATCTTGCTGAATGCTCTCATTTCAAATTCCAATAAGAGTTCCAAGATATTCTGACTTATTGTAGATTGTATCCATAATAAACTCAGAGCCAGGAATATAATAAATATTCCTCTTGCTGACAAGAAAGCCACAGGAGTGGAATTGTGAGTATACTATGGAGGCTTCAGGCTAACAACCCATAATCCCATTTTATTGTGCAGTAGTTTCTCTGAAACTACAATAGACTAATTTTATCAAAATAAAATTTAAATTCTTCTTATAGAGACTTTGTACACATTCCTCCTTCTGCTTAGATATTTCCCTGTGTAAAAGCTCTCTCTTAGACCTGATAAGCTAGGATCAGATGGAAGGGGAGGAGGACCTCCCCCATCAGTGGACTTAGAGATAGGCAGGAAGGAGATGAGGGAGGAAGAGAGGGAATGGGAGGGAATAAGGGAGGGGGCTACAGCTGGGATACAAAGTAAATAAACTGAAATTAATATAAAAAATAATAAATAAAAAAGAAAAATTGTAACACAAATAAAACAAGTCAAAGGGGGACTTGAGGAGATGAAAAAAAAGTCACTTTTAATTAAAAGATTGAAAATAAGGCCTAGATACTACCCAGAAAGACCTGTTTTAAATACAAAACATCCACAAAGACAAAAACAGAAAGTCACTTTTTTTCTGAGAAGGCTTCAACCTTCAAACCTTGCAATATTTCTTCATGGTAATATTGAGCATATTTGTGTCTTCAAGGAGAGAGAGACTATGTACATCAGAGCCAAATCACAAAATTATAAACAGCGGCTCTAACAGGTATGTAAGTACTTATTATACATATCACTTTAGGAATAGGTGAGTCAATAAATGGGAGACATATCTTGGTATTTAAAAAATAATAACATGTGCAGAGAATGAAAATACAATGAGGAGGAACCAAAGAAAGGGAAAGAGACAGAAGAATCCAGAAGTCTAATACCTTAATAAGTAATGACAGCTGGAAAGAATAAAATCACATTTTAGTTTGCTAAAACACTTATTCCACATTCACCTATTAAATGGTCCAGTTTACAAAAGCACAGGGCTACACTTTGTAAAACTAATTTACACATTTGGAGTTAAATGGACAATTTTATACTCTTCATACTATTTAAAATATATGAACATCACTAAACATGCATTTAGCAAATGATAGTAAAATAATGTAGGCAAAACATTACATAATACAACACGAATAAAATGAAGTCAAGTCAGTATTAAGGAAAACATGAAACTCTGGGGCTATGCAGATTGAGAAAGAGATAAGAGGAATGGTGTATACAAAAGGCTTAAAAATAAAACAAAATAAAATAAATGTTTTATTTTCTTTTAATGGCTACCAAAGTATTTCAATCATAAACTGAAAACAGTAGCACATTTTACTTGAAACAAAAGAGAAAGTTAATTGAAGGAGTGAAGCATGCATAGGAAACTCTCAGCCAAGTTCAACATGAAATTCACTGTCTGAACTAAAATGAAAAGGAGGTAAGGAGTGAGAAGGTGAATGAACACCTGCTTTCCGTTAGTAAAAATCAGGAGACACTGGTAATCATGACAAGTCAAGGTGATAATGCTTTATTCCAAACTTATCAAAGCACGACGCTATTGCAGGGCTTCTCAGCATCAGGCTTGGTTCAACAGCAGGGCAAGCTTATGACGCCAGCCTTGCTGGTGACCTGAGATCTAGACAGAAGCACAGTCTACAAATAAGAACAGATCCACGGCAGCTTCCTCACCTTAAGCACAGGTTTCTGTGTCAATTGACTCTTCCCTTGGCCTGTCATGGTGGAAAAAACGTGAACATCAAGAGAGGTCTGCTGGGTCTTAGATGCCATTATGAGTTCAGGCCAAAACTGGAACAAACTAGAAAGACACCCAAATGCAAGAGCTGATGACTCAAACAACTCATTTGCATCACCTTCAAGCCTTGCTTATGAATTTTGTCAACAAGCCACAGTAGAGGAAGGGCATACATAGACTAAAACTAGACAGACTGGTATATTCTTACAGTTTTGAATTTTGGAACATGATCAGAATTGAAAACAAAATTCTGCACTTCAAACTTCTCTTAGGTCAAATATAAAAAAAAAAAAATAGAAGTAATTAGAAGAGGTTGGAGGTTGAGTAAATTCCAAGTGAACTCAGTCCAATTGAAGTTGCAGTTACCCCTAACGCTCAGCTTAACTCAAAGAAGATTCTAGATCAGCCTTTCACTCTAAGAGGGTTCTGGATCAGCCTTTTCTTTAAAAGCCCAAGGAGGAAAAAAAAAAAAAAAAGACTTGTGCTCTCCAAAACTAAAGATGATTCTTTTTGTTTGTTTTTTATTTTTTTTAAGACATAGTTTCTCTGTGTAGCCTTGGCTGTCCTGAACTCGCTTTATAGATCAGGCTGGCCTCAAACTCATAGTAGTCCCTTTGCCTCTGCCTCCTAAATGCTGGGATCAAAGGCATGTGCCACCAGCCTGATTAAAACTAAAGATGATTAAATCTCAGTGTTCTACAGTGATTGCTATATAGTGTTCAATGGTAACACAATTACAGAACAACCCCAAGGAGGAAAAATAGGATCCACAATCCAGAGAAAATGCTGTCAATATAAATCTGGTATCTAAGAAAATACTTATTGTAATGAGCAGACAAGGACATAAAAGTACTGTAAATATATTAAAGATGCTATAACGTAGGTTTAGTAACACTAAATAAAGAAATGGTGATGGATCTGGTGGCACAGAACTGTAATCCCAACTACTCAGCAGGCTAAAGCATAAGGATTCCAAGTTTGAGTTCTTCATAGGCAACTTAAGAGACCCTGTCTCAAAACACAGAGAGGGAAGCCTTTGCTCACGGCAATGGATTCAACTTCTATTAGGGTCTTTTGGATTAGAGCAAGAGACATTAAAACTCTTGTGAATAATTTGGGCCTGTTCTGGGGTAAACGACTCTGAGTTAGTCTCTCTTCTTTTATGCACCATGGCCACCCTAATTCCTATCATTTTGAATAAGCTTTTCCTCAAAGACTTTATGTAACTGGAGTAACCAAAATAAACAGCCTCAGGCTTCTGAACTTGACATTATAGCTACAAGGTCCTTAATGGAAGTCCATGGTTCTCGTGTAATACTGTAATGTATAATATAACTGAAGTTTTTTTGCCTGTTTTATATTTGGGGAGCTCGAGACACTTGCTACTTGTGTTACTCCTCGTGTCGACCCCAACATTCTTGGTCATGTCTTTTGGCTACATTGAGTAAAATACACTAGTAAGTGATTTGTCATGCCAACAGTAGCATGTACTTACACACGGCTAAATCATAGCACACTGCCCACTTGGCACACCTTCCTGGATGAGCGTCACTTGTGTGTGGCCGGCAGCACAGTAAGGCTATTTATACCGTCTTCACCATGAACATGTAAGGAACTCTTTGCTGTGACATAACACAGGATCACGAGGACACAGCCTTTTCAGATTGGCCTTTTTACGTTAATAATAGGCGTTGAAGTCTTTTCAGACCTTGATAGCTCATTTTAAAGTATAGTATTTTAATTACTTTTTTGAGACCTTCATACAATGCATTGTGATCATATTCACCTCCTCTCCCGACTCCTCCAAGATCTACCCTCTTCATTCTCAACTTCCTACAGCCTCACTTTGAGTTTTCATCATCTTCAAAACAAACAAACAAACAACAACAACTCATCTAGTCAGATTTCTGTTTCACAACTATTCTTGGGAGTGAGGCCTGTCCTGGAGTATGATTTTGTGAATCACCATGCTTTCTATATTGTCAGATAAACTGTGACCTCCATTCCTAGGAGGCATCCAAAAGACTGAAAATAGAAACCTGTGACCTTGGCCTTACTATTTCTTCTAACTGGGGAAAGCTATGTGGATCTTTTGTGAGAAAGGTTTGTTGTACTAAGCAATGCTTTTCTGTGGTTCCCGCGATAACAGTAAGCTCACTATGTTAGTTTATCTTAAGGCTTCAAATTCTTTGATAACCCTTTGGGAAATGGAACTATGTCCCCTTTCCTATGAAATGGACAGACCTAATATCTCACTTGCAACCAAAAGAATAGGAAAGAGGAGACACTTGTAATGAGCAGACAAGGACATAAAAGTACTGTAAATATATTAAAGATGCTATAACGTAGGTTTAGTAACACTGAATAAAGAAATGGTGATGGATCTGGTGGCACAGAACTGTAATCCCAACTACTCAGCAGGCTAAAGCATAAGGATTCCAAGTTTGAGTTCTTCATAGGCAACTTAAGAGACCCTGTCTCAAAACACAGAGAGTTTTTGAGTATAGGTAAAAATAGACATGCAATTTCAGCCTTCTTTGCAGCATTCCACTTGGAGTCTGTCCTGGTTGGTGGTGTGTGTGTGTGTGTGTGTGTGTGTGTGTGTGTGTGTGTGTGTGTG